AAAGACCGAGTTCATTGAAAATCCTCTACTATACTTAGTTATGAGTTTTTCATAGCTTGGTACGGTTTTTTCCCGTACCACGTCTGTCTAAAACCTACGCTCAAGTATGTTATGTAAAATCTCCTTCTACTGCGTTAGGTATAAGTTTATATGAACACTAAGTACGGTATTATCTCATGTAAATAAATAAGTAATTGAATAATTTTACTCTCATGAAAAAATATTAGTGAGACATTGTAATTTCCAACTCACTAAAATATTTTTAACAAAGTCATCCATGATCCACTTTGAGGTTACTTTTGATATTTATAGTAACAACATTAACAATTTATCACTGCACCAGTATCCTAATTAACTGTCACTTATTTTTTTAACGCTGGGGAGGGTGGGGCAGAACGGTCACGGCGAGTGAATTGGTCACTCGAATTATGAAAAAACGAAAATTCTTTTTGATATAAATCTTTCTGATTTATAATTTGTAATGTCGACCCTTTTTTCCTCCACAAAAATATTCTTGAAAAAAGAACTTATGATATTATAATTAAGACTTGAAAATTGAAGTATAAAAACACGGTGCGGCACAGTTTTTTAGTCATCCAGCAAATAAAATGAATGTATCCTGTAAATTTCAACCAAAGATAAAATGAAAGTTTAAATCATCAGCTTTAATGTTCTTTTTGAATATTTTAAATTAGATGTCTTAATAATAAGTTATAATTAAAACAAAAAATTTTTTAAGTGGGGCAGCATGGACACATGCGAGAGGGCAGGATGGTCACGACTGATGCGCCGCGTCGTCGGTACCTGTCAATTTTTTCGTCTGCTAGTCAAAAAAATGCACGAGTGCGAAAGCCTGCTAGTTCCAGCGCTTTTCCCATGACCATAATGCCTCACACCTGTGACCATCGTGCCCTACAGGTGAGGCACAATGGTCATTTTTTTACATTATTTTTTATGATCTGTATAAGAATTATACGTACAATTAATATTCAAAAACAATTTCGCATCGTGTTATTGGGACTGTCAACTACAAGATTCCGTATTTATCAATTGCATATTTATTAATTTTGTTGTTGTTAATATTCAGAGTCGGAAAAGGTGACCGTTCTGCCCCACTCTCCCCTAATTGGAATGAAAAATGTTCAGAAGCGCTCGCATGGTTGAAAAATAAACTGATATCGCCGCGTATACTAGCGCACGACGATCCGACAGAAAAAATTGTGTTAGCGTGCGACGCGTCGGATTACGGTATTTCTGCGATACTTTCACATAAATATACTAACGGGACCGAAAAACCAATTGTATACGCATCTCAAAGAATTCAAAAGAAAAAAATTAACAGAACTACATTAGACAAAGAAGCAATGGCAATTATTTTCGGTTTTAAACGTTTTTATCAGTTTATTTTTGGGAAAGAAATTATACTCAGAACTGATAACAAAGCTTTGCAATTGATTCTAGGTCCGCGAAAAGGAATTCTGATTACGGTGGACAATCGTTTGCAACGTTGGGCGTAAAATCTATCAGGATTCAGGTACACTATAGAACATATTAAATCTGAACAGAATGCAAATTGCGATGCATTATCTAGACTCCCGATAGATAATAATAAGAATGATATAATGTTATTAGAATTAAGCACAAATTTTAGCTATATTAAATTTTTTAATAATGAAATACAATCATTAGATCATAGAATGCTAGCAGCGGAAACGAAAAAAGACCCCACAATGGTACAAGTTTGTAAATATGTGTTAAGCGGATGGCCCAATAATAAAAACTTATCACTTGATGAAAAAAAATATAGCACGAAAAAATTAGAGTTATCGGTCGAAAAGGAATGTCTATTTTGGGGTTTAAGAGCGGTTATTCCGAAATACATGCAGAATGTAATCCTTAAAGAACTTCACGCTACTTATCTAGGAATAGTGAAGATAAAAACGTTTGCGTGATCGAGGGTCTGGTGGCCGGGAATTGATCGTGATATAGAATCCATGGTAAAAGAATGTAAAATATGCATGATAGAGTAAAAGAAACCATCACACACACCGTTGACGACATCGCCTTGGCCAGCACACCCTTGGGTCCGCATTCATTGTGACTTTGCAGGGCCATTCCACAATAACATGTACCTAATTATAATTGACGCGCACTCAAAGTGGCCTAAAATAATCAATTTCAAAAATAACATAAAGGCATATAGATTAGTTGAAGAGTTTCAAAAATTGTTCACACGTTTTGGGTTGCCCCTGCACTGCGTCACAGATGGAGGTCCACAGTTTAAAAGCGCCGAATTCAATGAATTCTTAGGAAAAAATGGGGTAAAACACACGTACTCCCCTCCATACCACCCAGCGACTAATGGAGTGGCTGAAAACTTCGTGCAAACTTTTAAGAATAAGGTAGGCAAAATAGTTCAAGGGGGAGAGAAGGTAGACACTGCGGTAAATATGTTTTTGTTCGACTACCGTAGCATAGAACATTGTACTTCGCGCAGGAGTCCGGCGTATCTCATGTTAGGGCGTGAATTAAGAACACGTCTTGACGTATTGAAACCTAGTTTAGCCGCAGAAGTCGATGAAAAACAGCGCTCGCAAATAGTTAATCGTACTGGCAAACGCAAAGTGAACGTAACAGTAGGAGATGACGTCATGATAGATAACCATGGTGTCAGAGCTAGCAAGCGAATAGCAGCTAAAGTGATTAAACAGAACTCTTCTTCAACTTCTACAGTTAAATCATGCGATAACATAGTTCACAAGCGTCACATTGACCGAATGATCAAATAAACTGTTTATTATCATGTACCTCGATGCTCTTCAAAATTGTATTGGTTTAGATATTAAAGAAGTGAGAGAGTTGTGATGTATTGATCATATTGCTCATATATACATATAGAAGCGATGAGTTTGTACTCTCACGCGAGCGATAGCCGAGCGATGAGATCAGTGTATTGTTGACCGGCTTTGCACTCACAGCTTAAACTTATAAGCTCCGAACTTATGTAACACTTATACTTATTATCAATAAACACTAGTTATACAAATCAGCCGACATTTATTGTACTCGGCGTATACTACAACAACGGTCATCAGGTGATAGGTGCTTGTGCTGTTAATTCATATTTTATTATTTAATAGAGAGGTCAGATAGCGCCCCAGGTCATTGGGTGATAGGCACTTGTGTTAATAATTAATACTTTATTATTTAATAGAGAGGCAAGTTAGCGCCCCGGGTCACTGGGTGATAGGCACTTAATATTACAATTTTTAATTTTCGCGCGTCTTTGGCAATGCCCCTTCACTGCTGTGCTGTCTGCTCGACGGAACATTCTCCCTAGATCGTATTTATAGCTATATCTATAGCTATACAATCTAGGGAAAAATTTCCGATATTGAATCCAACGCTTGTACGGCACTAAAGCTTAAGTAGAAAGAGACACAATATTAAACGTGCATATCTGTCTCTCTCTCACGTTGCCAACTATAAGGATGTTGCATCAGCTGACCTTACTAACCTTTAGCACCTTTGGCAATGTGCAAGAGGGACAGATACCCTAGTTCGATGTTGTCTCTTTCTCCTTGTGCTTCAGCGCCGCACATAAGAACGAGTAGTCTATTTTTTATATGCTATGGTTTAGATAGACCAAGAGCTGAGGCCGGAGGGGGAGGGTAGTCGAAATTTTAATCGGCTGCCACTTTCACCAAAATTAAGGAACCTCATGATTCGAAGAGATCCAAAATATTTTTGTCATATTTCATTCTGGTGAAGAGTAATGTGGTAATTATAGTAGTGCTGCATGATATTTTTTATTAACTAGCTGCAACTTAGATCAATGAATAGAAAATGAAAAGTTGTCACTGAAAATGTCATTTGCAGTAAGATTAAAATACATCTTGTACCCGAAAATCGACCTCCAAAAGAATAGATATTGTGTTCTTGTCTATAATGTTATCTACAATGCCTCATCTATTATCTCAGATCGGTTGAGACTGTAGATTGTAGATGCGTGCCTTCGTGGTTTAGAGCTGTTCGGGACGCTCTAATCTCCTTATCGAACGAACCTAATACTCTAATATGATTTTCACGAATTGTACCGAGCAAGCAGACGAATAGTTTTGTTAATGGCCGTTCGGATCACGCTGCTATAACATTAAAGCAGCCTCACTGGTGACAACCCCCCCCCCCCCCAAGAAGAAGAAGAACTTATTATTTCCAATGTTTCAATGGCTTCTATATATTCTGTGGTGAAACTTTATCTTTCGGTTAATTGATTCTTTTGTTTGTTACATTACTTTTTCGCTGCATAGAAAAATTGAAAAAGTTTTTTTTTTGAGTTCAAGATTCAAATGCAAATCAATAATGGACGTAAAAAATATTCAAAACCGTAGAGTATGGGTTGGCCACTGTTTAGTAATATGCATTCACTTTGTAGGAATACTATCTTTCATACATTTCAATAAGTACTTTTATAGCATTGGATTTTACAAGTACATATTATTATTAGCAACTGTATTCCTTGCTGATCTATTAAAGTATTTACTAGTATATTCTCAGCTGAAATACATTAGTGTTGAGAAAGAAAAATTGAATTACTTAGTGAAAGTGAAGAAGAGTAGTAAAATTATGAAGAATACTCTTAAATTTGTCTTAACTGCAGTTGGAATAACCATAGTTTATCATATTGTTATTGTACTATTTGGTGCACCTCTTATTGCTGACTATGAAAAAACTTTTGTGCTTGCTGCCACTTTAACAATGCTTACTCTGGTACCAGCAAGCTTATACATAGGAATAAATAACGTAATTGACTTGTTAATTGGCCATCCTGCTCAAATTGAAAGGTCTGTCATAGATGGTATCAAATTAAATGTGAAGACTGTGTTATTTGGTACCTGGATCAGTACATTTGTTCTGCCATTGGACTGGGACCAGCCATGGCAAGCTTGGCCTATACCTTGCATTATCGGCGCAATGCTTAGCTACTCTGCAGCTCATTTTATAGGTTTAATGAATATTTTAATAGTTAAATTTAAAAGAAGAACTAGAAAAATAACTTAAAAAATTGTTGAATTTATTATTAAATTATTCTTGATAAATTTGTTTGACTGTATTATGTCCTGACAATATATGAAAATTAAATTGAATATTTAAAAACAAGCGTTTTCTTTTACTTTTATAAAGTCTTAATTAACTCGACAGTTTGCTGCCACAACTACATAATTTACAACTATTTTAATTCATCACAAAAAATATGCTTATTTCATATAGCCAAAAATATGTCTTGATTTGAAAATACTTTGTACTCATTCAAATTGTAAAGAAGGGTTAAAAAATTATGATGCTGAGTTTTGGATTATTTACTTTCAACAGTTTCTCTAAAGGCCTTGTTAAATTAAGTAATGCATAGTACAAAAGATTAGTGAGCTACTACTTGACCGCGAACACTTTGTACAGTGTACCAATTGTACTAACTATTAATACAGGAAATGTCAAATCTCTACAATTAAAATTTATAATCAAGTATGCGTCTATTAAGCCTCATATTTCTGTAATTATGTTGGTAAAAGTTTTTATTTAAGTAGCTAGTGTTACACTCAAGTGTTTGAAATTAAAATAGGTAGTCTATCGAATAATATGTGTTGTTTAAAAGGCCTACTTTTATGCTCACGCTAAAAATGCTTCAGCATTTTCTACAATTATGTAACCGCCACATCAAATCTGACTAGAGCTCAGGTTTACTATCTGGTCGCACGATTTGTAACTTGAAAAAGGTTTGACGTACGGGAGAGAGTGAGGTTGTATTAGCATCAGTGTTGCCAGATCAGTTTATGTTCATGCCGCCACTTACCAATCGAAAAATCGCCTAAGGTGGCTCCAGCCCCTAGTGTCGTATCAAAATGGGGAGACTAAAAATTAATCATTATTTTATTTAAAATATGGTATAAAATTAACGTAGAGACTGTTGTAAGCCATATTCTACGTTTTATCTCTTACTTTAGTGAGTAAATATAAAAAAACAAAAAAGTTTTATGGTGCCCTCATTGATGAACTGTTACGGTACGCTCCTATAAGTTCCAGAATGTGGCAACATTGCTCAGCTGTAGTCATACCTATATATATGTACTCTGCAGAATGCATACAGCTGAGAGCTGACTTGCACTCGCAACTGTATACTTAGTCTCCGATTATTTAAAGATTTTGTTCGATAACAAGACACTTTTCTCATGTCATCGAAAACTACGTAATAATATTATATACAAGATAGTATATTTTTTACACCTTACGGGTTATTTATATAAGTGCAGCAGTAGGTTGTATATCGCGTAAGCTTGCATTTCCTATCTAACCCGTCTTAAAACTACGATTTTGTAAGCATGATTTCTTACAATTTTCATCGTCAACCTTAATTTTTTTTTATACGAATAGAAAGATGGGAATTCAAAGAATATAATCCAATTTTATTAACCTCGGTTGGGTTATTTGTAATTTTAACATTGAGGTAATATATACGATTAGAACCTGAAATACTTGAAAAAATATATGTGTGGAAGGATTGTCAAAATGTTCTTACATAAATGTCCAATACAAGAAAGATTTTTATTCACAATATGATATTTATAATTAATACATAAACTATAATTAACTTCTCAAGAGTCTAAACATACATACATTATGTTTGATTTTATTTGAGATCGTTGCATTTATAAATATGATTTCTCTTACCCCTGTTAATACATTCTTTTTATACTTTACAATCTCACTATCTTGAATAATCACAATTTATATTTGACAAAACTAGTTTTCAGTTACAGTGTATTTAATTATTCTTTCTTTTGAATCGTTGATTTTTTTTATTTATGCAATAGATAACTAGAAAAAGTTTTGACTTAAGAACATTAAATTAATAAAAAAACAAATTCACTCGAAACAGTTTTACAAGTAAAATGTCTTCAATACTTATACAAGGAAAATCGAAGTTGTCTAACAAATCTATTACTTCAAGTTCTAATTCCGATTCGTTATGAACTTCTCCGAGATTATTCGTTATTGTATTCACTATTTTAGAATTAAAATCACGTTACACTTTTAATGTCAGTATAAACTTTACACAGCAAACTTTATTTACACAAAAATGCATTCTTATTCTTACTGTTGCATCTAACAAAGGCAGAAGCATTTTATTTCTAAGTTTTGTCTTAATAGCGTTCATTATTGGAAAATTTCTTTGAACAACTGCATAGCTTGAAGGAACGCAAGGTTTGTGATCAACACTTTGATGGTGAAAAAAATTGTAACTTTTGGAATAAAATTAAATTCGACGGTAATTGGTTAGATAATTCAATACATAGACTTTTGATAAAATAGAGCGCTCTTGTTTCAATTTCTATTTTTTGTTCCTTAGTAACAGTTATTTTATCTATTGCTTTATAATAATCAATCCCAAAATCGCATTCTGAAATTTGTAGAAAGGAATTATCTGATTCAAAACTTTATAAAATATTATCCAAGTTATTTTGCATGTGTTTAGGTTTTAAAATTTTTCTTGCTAATAATAGCATAATATCTTTAAAATCGTCATTTGCTTTTCCTAGATCGACGTTACAGCTCTGAAAGGATGCATTTACGTAATTTACCTCGCCAAGAATAGGTTAATTATTAATAAATATAAATACAAAAGGTCATCACTTAAAATACCATCAAGATATCGCGTGGCCTGATCCTCTCTGGTACACTGAAAACAAAATTTCGTCCTCACAAATAAATTTTTTTTGAATCAAATAAATCATTTATACGAATACAAACAAATAAATGATTTATTTAAACATAATACATAGATTTATTTGAAGCGAATAAATTTTATTTAGGACAAATAAATATTTATGTACACTGATTATTCCGCATTCTCAAAATTATTAAATACATATTCAATTCGATTTTACATTTACTTGATGATATTTCACATTTATTTATTGATAGAAAATATTTATTAGAATCAAATAAATGATTATTCATTTCAACTACATCCAATAATTAATTTAAATAAATATTTGATAGAGTTAGATAAATGCTTATTGAAGATAAATAAATATTAATTTATTTTGTAACCTTGTATTGTCTCGTTAGATAAATATTTATTTGTTTAAAACGAACACCTATTTGAATTAAATAAATATTTATTTAATATTGAACCTTGTACTGTCTCGTTGAAT